TATTCATCTGGTGACCTAATAACCAGATAAATATTTGTATCATGATTAATTATAATTTACAATAAACCAATGTCAAGGAAGGGCCTCACATACACCAGAGCAGCAAGAAAAGAAGCACTGCATGGTCCTGACCTAATAAGGTAATTCTGTATCAAGTTAGGAATCCATTATACCATCTACACTATCCATTCTTGAGAAAAATTGTAATATGTCTAACCAATGAGAAGACACGGTGGCCATTTGGGATTTTTCAACCTGCATGAGGAATAACACTACTTATTAAGGACTACATATGGATCATATATACGAAGTGAGAAAACAATTGCACCAGCAATTCTCGTGAAGAAAACAAAAATGTCAGAAGCCAGTGGCCATTTTCGATTTTCTGATTTTCACAAGAAACAACAACACATGTGCAAGACTTCGTGATAATCATTTGTGCCAGCATTTAAAGTCCTGTAACTCTTGTAGATACGAACTGATTTCAATGATACCAAATTTGATGCAGATCAAATAATTGAATCCATGTGACGTCCTGTGAACATTATCCCAAATACCAAAATAGGTGGGAAACTGTTAAATATGTAGTGCGAGGAAAGAAATAAAATGATAATTTTTTCGTCATTTGTAGACCCATAACTTGTGTACATTGTGATGGATATCACTGGTTATCGAGCCCATGTGACATCTCATGAATATAAAGTCACATATCAAAGTTAGTGAGCATCTGACAACAAATACACAAGTTATTGTGTGGAAAACAGAAACTTGACAGACAAACAGAATGACTGACTGATAAAGCGGAGATTATATGCTCCTTGTAAAAAGTTTGGGAAAGATCTATCATGCCCTTCTAGTACAAAAGCAGTACCGCTTTTCCTTTGTCAACATCTATAATCATCACTTGCTTTCCCCATTTCTGTTAATAAGAAATAAGAATTTCTGGTAGAAATAAAGAAACACAAGATTAAGGTTATGTTTTATATTTTATTCTTAGGTAATATGCACATACCCATATACATATCATAGTTTGTATAAAAAGCAACTGGTGGTACAGCAACTGGTCATGAATGGTATGGTTCCTTGTATATATCCAACATATCATAACAATAGTTTGTCAACATACACTATAAAACAATGTTATCTACACAGAGCTAAATCTGGTATTTTCAACCTGCTTATTTCTTCCATACATAAAGGAAAAAAGTAACTTGTTTTCAGAAGTCATAGTAGCCTTTTTGATGTTATTATAACCACAGCTCTGAAAAAACCGTATGATGCAGTTTAAATCATTTCTATTTTCATGCCCTACTGTATATTTTTCAGATTTTTATGATATGGTTCTATTCATTTTGTGTCTTTTGTACACACATTCACTCTATTTGAAATGTAATCAATTCTGTTTTCTGTTGTGGTTGTCATTTCAGTAAGAGTATCCATGGCTGTGTGGTGTAGTAGTGACACACCTGTTTTACACAAAGACATTTCAGGTTAAATTACGAACACTTGCGTGCAAAAGTCAAAAATGTGGTTACCTACCTCCCCACGAGTTCTCTGGTTTCCTCCCACTGTAAGACCCCTTTCAATATATGCAAACAAATGTGATAAGTCTGATAACTTGTTTTGCAATTGTTGTAAAATGAATAAAATTTACATTCCTAAACTTACAACAATTTCAATTGGCAAAAAATACTTCACAGACTTTTAGTTAGTATTACCCAGTATTCTATACTGTAATCATTACTACATATATGTCCTAGATTTATATTTTTAGCAAAGTGATAGACTATAAAACACACAATGATCAGATTACAGAATTATTCCCTATTCAGAAAATCATGTAATTATCTACCATAGTATTTTTTTAAGATATCCGGCTTCACAGCTTACTCACTTTATGAGTTTATACAGTAAGCTGTGAAACTTGAGTATGTTATAAGTGTAAAATGAAAGAGCGAATGCGAGAGACGAGAACCATATGTGTGACGGATGAATGACCTCCTGCGTGGGGACAATTAATGTACAGAGGCTGACCCCAGGGCCCCAACCCTGACAGCTCTCTTTGATATTTATTTATTTATTTATTTCTAAATAAATACAAAAGAAAAAAAAAGTTGATCCGGCTAGAATTTAATACTTTTCAACCATTCAAAGATTCCATTCATGACAAAAACTACTTCTTTATGATGTCTTCTAACATTTCTGTCACTGAGGGTTTCTGATAAAAACATTCCACACATAGTTTATATAAAAGGAAAAAAAGATTTTAACATAAACGTAACCATTGCATGGCCTTAAAAAAAAGGGCATTTATTGATGATACATCACACTGTACAAGCTCAATACAATATCTTCAATTGTGGTATAATAGAACCTCTTAAAACACAACCACTTTGAAAATTGTGATGTTTTGAAGACAACACAGTCACCTTCATTAGATCCTGATGAAAGTGACGGTGTAGTCATAGAAACACCACACTCAAATCTTCTACTGATTGTATTATAAAAATTCTATTCTCATGACACTACCAACCCAAAGAAAATGTTTCGGAAAAATCTCCAGTGCTATTTTTCCTAATGGGTATATATACAGTTACCATACTTCTGTTCTATATATATTGATCTAACATCAAACAGGTTGCATTTACAGTCTGAAAAAATCCTCATGTGCCTGAATGACATATATGGACTCATGATGAAATGTTTTTAGAGCTTCCCTAACTATGGCTAAGCTTTATTTTCAAAGAGCTTCTAAACCTCTTGATATAGACTTGAAATTTAATGTGTCTTACATGAAATTAAAACTGATATATCAGCTGCAATAAATGATAGGCCAACAAAGCAAACAAAACATTTATCATTGAAATACAGTTTCTATTTCTCCTCTATAAAGGAACTGAGGGCTTAATATTTGGCATTTGGATGAAATGAGATACTATAAAACTTATTATGATAAAATCTTGAACTTCCTGACAGCCTCAGAATATTTAGTGTGAAAATGTCCAGTTGTATAAATGATGCTATGAATAAAAAGTATTCAATATTTTTTACATAAAATAAATTGTCTTGAAATTCTTAGTGACTTTATCCTGAAGAAATAAAACAAGCTTTAAGAGTTAATCAAAATAAATCATTTCTTGAATTTGTCATATATACTAAAATAAATCTTATGAATAGACACTTTCGGTTTTAAATCTTCTTCAGTTTGGTTTAATTATAATAACACTAAAATCCACTTGTCATAATTCCTCAAGAAACAGACCTACTATCCATTAAAATACTACAGAACAATCGATACAAGTCTATTTATAAAATGTTGGCTATACAACTAGACACTAGAACTAGCCAAACGCCATGCAAATGTACTGATGTGCTATATTCACCATATGAAATCTGTGTTTTGAAAAGTTCACATTCCCAATGGTCAAGAAAACTAGCATAAAAATACAATGAAGAACTACATATTTTAGTACACACGTACATAGCAACATGAAAATAAAAAACATTACAGCCTTTCTTTTTATCATACAAACATTTTAAAATAACAAACATATACATCCGAATTCAATAAAATTTATCAAAGTAGACTCCACTATATACACCTTGGCAAAGTGAAATATCAAATATGTCACATCAGATATAAAATGAATATAAAACAAAGACATATTCTTCCATGTATTGGCAAACAAATAATGGTCAATTATCTAGCTTCATAGATGCATTTGAAATCTTCATATCATAACAATTTTTTATACAAATGTTGCTTAGAAAAAGTAGCTAGGTATATGAAATGCTAGGAATTGTGTGAAAGAGATTGTGACCTGATGGAGAGGTATGATAAAGAATGTGAAAGAATGACAATAAGTCAATTAATATTGATTAATTCATTACACGTGAGACATGATTTATATATATAAAACAATCACAATGATCTCTTTAATGGTATAAAGATTCCAATTCCACTGTTCCACTGGCAGTGAAATTCTGATGACCATCTTTACCCCAGGTATAACAGGGTATTCAATCCCGCTGATCACCTTAGAACCACTGACTGTCAGATTCACATACCCAGTATGTTTAGTACAGGAAATCATTTTGTAATTCTATAAAAGAATAATCAAAACATCAAATATTCAATGAGTGTATTTTTAAGAATTTTATTGGAAATGCTACTTCAGGATAATATAGTACATATTATTTTGTTAGTAACCATAAGAGTAACAGTAATTATTATTTTGTTGGTAACCTAATTTCAGGGTAACCGTACACATTATTTAGTTGGTAACCTAATTTCAGGGTAACCGTACACATTATTTAGTTGGTAACCTAATTTCAGGGTAACTTTACACATTATTTAGTTGGTAACCTAATTTCAGGGTAACTTTACACATTATTTAGTTGGTAACCTAATTTCAGGGTAACCGTACACATTATTTAGTTGGTAACCTAATTTCAGGGTAACAGCACACATTATTTAGTTGGTAACCTAATTTCAGGGTAACCGCACACATTATTTAGTTGGTACCTAAGTTCAGGGTAACAGCACACATTATTTAGTTGGTAACCTAATTTCAGGATAACAGCACACATCATTTAGTTGGTAACAGGGTTAACCTAATAACCGTTCACATTATTTAGTTGGTAACACACATTATTTAGTTGGTAACCTAATTTCAGGGTAACTTTACACATTATTTAGTTGGTAACCTAATTTCATTTTATTATTTAGTTGGTAACCTAATTTCAGGGTAACAGCACACATTATTTAGTTGGTAACCTAATTTCAGGGTAACCGTACACATTATTTAGTTGGTAACCTAATTTCAGGGTAACTTTACACATTATTTAGTTGGTAACCTAATTTCAGGGTAACCGTACACATTATTTAGTTGGTAACCTAATTTCAGGGTAACCGTACACATTATTTAGTTGGTAACCTAATTTCATAACAGCACACATTATTTAGTTGGTAACCTAAGTTATTTAGTTGGGTAAACAGCACACATTATTTAGTTGGTAACCTAATTTCAGGATAACAGCACACATCATTTAGTTGGTAACCTAATTTCAGGGTAACCATACACATTATTTAGTTGTTAACCTAATTTCAGGGTAACCGTTCACATTATTTAGTTGGTAACCTAATTTCAGGGTAACCGTTCACATTATTTAGTTGTTAACCTAATTTCAGGGTAACAGTACACATTTTTTTGGGAACCTAATTTCAGGGTAACCGTACGTATTATTTAGTTGGTAACCAAATTTCAGGGTAACCGTTCACATTATTTAGTTATTAACCTAATTTCAGGGTAACCGTTCACATTATGGTAACCTAATTTCAGGGTAACAGCACACATTATTTAGTTGGTAACCTAATTTCAGGGTAACAGCACACATTATTTAGTTATTAACCTAATTTCAGGGTAACCATTCACATTATTAAGTTGGTAACCTAATTTCAGGGTAACAGCACACATTATTTAGTTGGTAACCTAATTTCAGGGTAACCGTTCACATTGTTTTGTGGTTACCTCATTTCAGGGTAACAGTACATAATATTTGATTGATAACCTTTTTTCAGGGTAAATTTTATTTGTAATCTTATGTCAGATTAATGGTACTGTATCAGAAATCTTAAAGATGTAACATAATTAAGGGATAAATTTGTGGTTTTATTGTTTGAAAATTTAATTTCAGTGGTTATTTTATTTTAGAGGTGCATTATTTTACTAGTTAATATAGTGATATATGTAATTGTTGTGGTTATTTTCAACTGTTTATTGGAGCATCATTTCTGTTCTATTTCCAACGACTTTTGTGCAAGTATAGTCATACAGTGTTGAAACAATGCTACGTTAAAAGACTGTACTGAATCTCTCAAACAAGCTCTAAATGTCTGTATAAAATACTTTACAGTACATAGGAATGACAATTGTAAGTTTTTAGATATAACTGGGGATGGCATTCATGTTGATTTCATTTCCTATATCAGAGTCCTTAACAGTCCTGTCTCTTATATCTCATCATTTGCAAATTTAAAATCATTTCTAAATCAATGTTCGCAAAATTATGTATTCACAAATATGTCTGAATAGGTAAGTTAGCAAAATAAAGTATTTGCAGAATCTAAATGATTGACAGTAGTTCTACTGCAGGTAATTCCTTATAACAATCAGTTTTAAGTTAGGTAAGTTTCATACTGAATACAAGAATTTATGAACAAAAAATAAAGTTGAAACATCCTGAGGTCCTATAAGGTATAAACCATCAATAAAGACTTTAAATACTTTTTCCTGTTTCAGCCTTATACATGTACAATGTATAGGGACTGTTGCTGTGCCAAAATATACATCATGTAGATATAGGTGTATTCATTGTGAATGATGAGCATTTTATAAAACTTCATCACCTAATATCAAATAAAAAAAAATATAGAGAATTTTTTATGGTAGATTCTTAGAGTGAGAATAGCAATTTCACAATATACTATAGCAGACTCATTCAAACTTGAGACTAATATTTATGTCCATATGTTGCAATAAGAATAACAGAAATCAAAAATTGGGCTCTTAGCCAGCAAACGTTTTTAAGTAACAAACTACAAGGATAAGTTTAAACCTCTATTTAGCTTTCAAATCCTCTTTTCATGTCTGTAATTATACTTTTAAGGTATAAGCTCTTGAAACAAAATAGTGTTTTAAACAAACTGAGACAGTATTCCTATAGACAACCAAAACAACATGTTTAATTTTACAAATTATCTGGTACAATTTATCATGATTATAACAAGATTTCTTAAAACATTCAAAGGTACTATGTTACTGAAGTACTTTTAGGGAACACAATTACAAGGAACTATTTTTAAAACTGTAAAGCATGTTTAGATAACTCCAGAAAATGTACAAAATTACAGGTAGTCAAAACATGTATATATTTGAAGCTTGTAAATTCCATAGTAAAGTGTACTGAAAATAATGTCATTTTTAACTGAACACGGTTTTGACATCATACATCACATGACCTCTTCACCAGAAGTCTTTATGGTGATATTGAATCTGTGAATTGTTCTTGTTGAGAGTCAATTCGAATGAAAATTTACTATAAACCTTTTAAAAGCAATAACTTTTTCACAAAATGAAAAATTCATAATCAATTTAAACAAGGTGACAAAAATTAAGTGAAGTAATTTGAAGCATTGTTATAACTTAAACTAGCAGGTAATCTATGTAAACTTAAAATCAGCACTTTTACGAAGTCTTAGAAAGTATTTATACCTATTTACACATGAGGATTGTTCATTTATTGTAGAAACATTTGGAGACACTGTTTAGTAAATAAGAAGAAGAAGATTATGGAATATATAAAGCATAAAAATGCACCTGTATTTCTGAACACAAAATAAACTACAATGAATTTGAGTTTCGTTACTGTTTACCTAGGCATGAACACATTCAAAAGAATAAAAAAATTACAGAGATTCTTCTCTTCTTTTACATAAATAATTGATATCACTGAATAACATCACAATGCTTTCCCTCATCGAACACAAGATGATTGAGTTACTTCCCTTTGATCAATCAGAGTACTTAGCAACCTAATTATCCCTTAATTATCAACATCACTACAAAGTGATAGACATGATTTGTTATAGGAAAATTGGTTAGTAAATAGTTATATCAATACTATTTTCTGTCAAACGTAGGCCAGTTTATACAATAAAAGATCATGTGTGATTATTTGATTATAAGGAAAGGATTCTGCGTGTGAAAATCTGTGAGGTCAGTCTGCATATATACAAAATAGTGTGTGAGAAAATCAATGAGTGCGTTTGAAAGGAAGGTCTATATGAGAAAGTGTGCAAAGATACACATGAAAAGATTTTTATGAGAAAACTTTAAGATTAAGATTAGTTGTGTCTGCAGTGATAGTGGAAGTACATGTAGTTTTATTTCTAGGTTTAAGTTGGTTGAAAAAGTGTGACAATGTATGAGTAATGAATAAATATATGTATAGATATTTGTGTTTGACTGCATTCAACAGTCAGTGATGTATGATGTCAAAATTTAATATATTTGTGTGTATCTAACGGATTTATCACAGATGAAACAATTACTAAAATTTAAAGACATTTTGTTAAATTATAATAATATTAACTTAAAAACAGAACTGATTAAATAAATGAAATAAAATAACAATAATGCCTGCAAACCTGCAACCTAAGCAAAAATAATAGCAAAGGGAGGTAATACATGTCAATTTGTCTATTCCATTATCTACACGTACAAGATGTATTTACAGTGTAGGTGTCAGAACCTGTTCTAACTACTGTATTTATTCTAATAAAAACCCCAGGAGCTTGACGTTTTGAAGAAAATGACTTTTAAATCTTCATGCTTGGATAGTGACTGTAATTCCTCAGTAGTGTAAAAAGCCACTTGTAATTAGAATGAGGTGCGTTTCAGCATTGAACTTATGTTTTTTTCTCATTCTGGACTGCAGGTCCACATCTATAGTGATTCATTTTCTTTACGGCGAGTATTGGACGGAGACTTTTATTGGAATAAATACAGCGAAAGAACTTCTCCAACTACAGGTAATGAAAACCTAACCTAAAATTGTTATCCTTTACACAATGTCTCTTATCAAACGTAATTCATAAATGTTTCACTACATGTCAAAATGCTATGTAAAATACAGTTTCACTTCATTCATCAACTTGTAATAAAACTGATTTTTTTTTCATAAATCGTAAACAGGAACACTTATAGAATTATTTAGAGATGTCCAATATTGAACTTATGTCAGTATGATGAGAATTAATTGCTTATGTAGATATTACTTATTAGGTAAAATTATCTGTCCAACAGATAGCAATTACCACGTTCCTATTCCTCAAGAGACTGGTTCTCACTAAAACACGACATTGTGAAGAGTGAAAAGACATTGGGATCATGTACACAGGAGACTAGGTAGGAGGGATGTAAAGCAGCCTGATGACAAAATCATGTTTTATAAATACGTATGACATCCTTAATCTCCTGTCGACATATAGGACACAGGCCTCCCTTACGCTGCTTCACCTGAATTGCACATTCAAAGCACATGCATAGATGTCCACATGTGTAGAGAGCAGCATTCACTTGCCGCTCGTAACACACAGTACATTCATCGCGAACCTCACTGTCGCCATTATCAGCAATGTTAGGTGTATTAGGCATGGACACAGGTTGTTTCTGGACGTTATCCATCGGTCCCGAGGACATCTGAGTCAGGGTGGCTGCAGGTACACTGTAACTACGCAGCATGTGAGGCTGTGGATTTTGATTGGCTGGCACTCCTGATTGGTCAACATTAGAGTGGGTCATGTTTGCAAGGTTTTGTGCTTGTGGTTGCTGATCCCGAGGAGGTAACATAACGGTGAGGGAGTTCTGAGCCCCCAGGTATGAGGTGGATCGGGGACGGGGTGGCACAGGTGGTAGGTGGACAGTAGTACCTGAAACACAACATAGAATACATTAATATTCTAAACATATCCATCACATGCCAGCTTAGTCAGCTTTTTCCAAAACCAAAAAATATTTGTATAATTACAATACTTTTTATTGAAAGGTGGTTTGAAGATTTAAATACACATTTAACCACTGACCTTGAGAATGGGTCAAGGCAATTCTTATGAATAGACTTGAAAGTCCTTTACAACATAGACACCTAGCATGCTAACTAGCCAAAAGTCATGACTCTTATGCCATTTGATTGTTGAGAAGAAAGAAAGAACAAGGTTGGTCAACATGATTCAGTTGAAGAAATTGGAAAGCCCTTTTTCACCTCAGCTATTGAAAAGCCTTGCTACTTAGTAATTGAAAAGAAATCATTTAGACAAAGTAATTAATATAATTGGAGTGTCATTCATTGTATGTCTGCACAAACAAATGACATAGAGAACTTGGGTTAGATGTAAGACATTCAAATGAACAAATGTCTAATTTCATTTCCTTTATCATAGCAAATTATATCATCAGACAGGATATTTTGCTTGTCATCTGAAATATTTCTGATAATTCGACATCTACAAAACTTAGTGGAATAACTGTATTTGTTTTAAAAGCTAATTTGAATGTTTCAACCAACACACGGTGACATATTTCTGCATTTCCTATACTTCAGGTCGCATTTCCGTAACATGACCTTTTTTGAGATAATTGTTGTGACCAGTTGTGTTATTCTATTAAACTATCACAACTTTTGGTCAAATAATGTTGACTTCCCAAGATAATTAAAAAGACAATCAAGTTTAAATCAGTCAACATCTGTGATAGTCCAATTTAATCTGATGGGATTATTCTCTCAACAAGTTGATACAAATCTGGCCAAATATGGTAGGATGTTATTATTACAGAACTTGTCGCAATGATTATTTCAAAATGTTGCGTTATGACGTTACCTAAAATAACTGGATGTCAGAAATTTGCCATCATTTATACATAACCATGAGTGTATATCAATTTAATTTCTGGTTTAGACACAGCCAGGTTGGTAAATGGCTGGTTTGTATTGATTATTTAGGGTTTGTGTTTTTATGCCTCTTCCTATTGCTACGTGTTGTCTCATCGATGAACATAAGTGTTCGAGAGTAATTTGTAAGGATATATAGACGCTGATTTACACACCTGTAATGAGGTATATCCTGACCCCTTTAATTCTGATGAAGGATTGGCTAGTCCTTACAGGCTAAGTCCTTATTATTATCAAGCATGACTTACCCAAAGGGCGTATTTTCTGGACATTTCCATAGACATCAAAGAAAATCCATAGTGGCAGAGTCCTGTCCACATGAAGCAGGGTGCTTACTCGCTGGTTGTTCCGGGAGTACCTCAGTTCTCCTGAAACAGACAATGGAACCACTGTATGTATAGAATAAAACATAATCAAGGGAACTCCACCACAGGGTTTATAATCTGACCTTGAGAACTGTGTTTTTGACTTAATTCACTTAGACGAATATTAATGTCAGCTATGTAGAACTATCAATGGGGGACATGAATTCAGAGAAAATGATATTTTGTCGTCCAATAAATAGGATTTATTATACATGTTTTTGCTGAGGCTTTATAATGATTTGATACAATATATTTTGTTCATGTGTTTGTGTAACAGAGAATTTTAAAACATATTTGTTACTGCATATACATTCAGTATATTAGTAAACTGTAAACAAAAACTGATACATGAGTGACAATAAATGCTTTGTTAACTTGAGTGACAATAAATGCTTTTTTTAACATGAGTGACAATAAATGCTTTGTTAACTTGAGTGACAATAAATGCTTTTTTTAACATGAGTGACAATAAATGCTTTGTTAACTTGCAAATGTTTACCAAATGTAACCCTGCTCAATATTAGCTGCAATATACTACTCAGTTAGAGAGAACTTCTCCTTAGCTCTATCAGTTCAGCATCATACAAGTAAGCCAAGGGTCTTGGTTTCAATTCCTAGCTGAGGCATTGAAATAGATAATGACATCTGTTACACTGTGCCCATGTAAGGACATGGGAATAGTAAGAAGCCTTGTCCCACCAGCAGCCTTGTAACCCCTGGAAACTTGAGGATGAGTTGTTTCCTGGAGGGGGAGCATGTAACCCTGGTCAGTACTAGCTGCAATATACTGCTTAGCTAGAGAGAACTTCTCTTTAGCTCTATCAGTTAAGCGTCAGACTAGTAAGCCAGGGGCTCCGGGTTCGATTCCTAGCAAATAACACTCAACATCATATTTTCGTTCAATGTACTGATACTGTTTTCACTATCAATTGACTAAGTACCAATAGAGATTGAGCTTTGAATTGTTTCTACATTTGAAAAACGAGTACTTTGTAGATACAGCCAGTATTAAAACAAGTACTTTGTAGATACAGCCAGTATTAAAACAAGTACTTTGTAGATACAGCCAGTATTAAAACAAGTACTTTGTAGATACAGCCAGTATTAAAACAAGTACTTTGTAGATACAGCCAGTATTAAAACAAGTACTTTGTAGATACAGCCAGTATTAAAACAAGTACTTTGTAGATACAGCCAGTATTAAAACAAGTACTTTGTAGATACAGCCAGTATTAAAACATGTCCTTTGTAGATACAGCCAGTATTAAAACAAGTCCTTTGTAGATACAGCCAGTATTAAAACAAGTCCTTTGTAGATACAGCCAGTATTAAAACAAGTACTTTGTAGATACAGCCAGTATTAAAACAAGTACTTTGTAGATACAGCCAGTATTAAAACAAGTACTTTGTAGATACAGCCAGTATTAAAACAAGTACTTTGTAGATACAGCCAGTATTAAAACAAGTACTTTGTAGATACAGCCAGTATTAAAACAAGTACTTTGTAGATACAGCCAGTATTAAAACAAGTACTTTGTAGATACAGCCAGTATTAAAACAAGTTCTTTGTAGATACAGCCAGTATTAAAACAAGTACTTTGTAGATACAGCCAGTATTAAAACAAGTACTTTGTGGATACAGCCAGTATGACAGCCAGTATTAAAACATGTCCTTTGTAGATACAGCCAGTATTAAAACAAGTACTTTGTAGATACAGCCAGTATTAAAACAAAGGGGCCAGTGGCATAAAACATCACACGAGTTACATTGTCATAGAAATAATGTTTTTACAAAGTAAGATAACTTGAACTACATTGTACATATAATGCTAATGTAAACCGTGCATAACATTAACTGTTGTCCCATACTAAGAATTCTAAACATGTTTGAATTACACAAAATTACATTTAAAACTGTTTTCTTCCTACTTAAACTCTTCCATCCATTAACAGTATGTAATAGATCCTATCATATCTTGGTACTGAAAAGATTTTTGAAATTTAATTCAATTACACCATTTTTTTGCCTGTCCATCAACCCCTGGAAGTCAGACAGGGTCAATGTGTACATATCACCAAACTTTATCTCTTCCCAGTGGGAAATGTGAAACCCTGAAGTCAAGAAATTTGCAATTTTTGTAAAGCACCTTACGACCAATCCATCCATTAAGAGAATTTGGAATTTCAATCAATTTTACCTCTTGTTGTTCCCCCACCCTTTCAGGTCACTTGTACCATATCATTTACAACTTTGAATCAACTTAGGCCATGAAAGGTTCTACAAAATTTCAATTTAGTCATTTTAGGGGTTTGTCAGAAAAATTTGAAAATTTTAAAAGTTTGTGACAAACAATGCGGCACAACAGGCGATCGCAATAGGTCACCAGGAGACAAGTTTTATGGTTAACTAAAAATACAGTAAGAAGTCATTCAAGCAGTCAGACTTGTCCTAGGCCACACCTTACTCATTGTAAGATACTAACACAGTACTTACAATTAGAGTGCATGTAGGTTTGTCTGGACACAGAGCCCCTATAATTACATGCCTGTTGGTCTGTATCATTCACATCCTACAGAGATCCCTATCAGTAACATAGATTCTGCTGAGTCAGCCTTGACTCATGACTTCTCATAATGTACCTGTACTTTCCTACATATGACATCATCACTCTCTCTCAACTCTACAACACCAATAAGATCTATCAAAACCAGGATGAACAGACTGAAAACCTATGTACCTTGACCTAGGTCTCAAAACATACTCTTCCTTAACACACATAAACTACCCTTGGATAAGCTTAATTGTTACCTTGTTGCAATTGCTGTCACTGTTTACAGTTATCCTTAATTCATAGAATCACACAAGTCTTGGAAGAATCAAGGCTAAAAGATTGGAATATCTTACATTTATTTCAATATTAGCTTTTCTTAGATTAGATTTGATTTTCTTTCTTCAGATAAAACTGCAAACATGGGTTATTGATATGGTTGGACAATTAAGCAGCATTCAGGTGTATTTTCTCTGTTCAGCAACTCATATGAAAATCTAACTATATATGTTTGAGAAACACTGTGCCCCTGAGGGAAGTCATTCATGAATGCTATAAGCACAAGGGCTAGGACATCCAAATGAAAGATATTTTTGCAATACATCAAAGGCTTAGGTAAACAAATGTGGTAGAATTGAATAAACAGTCATTAGAAATACATGTGCTAAATAAGAAGGCATTTTTCTATAAGGGTATATGTACAGTTAAGAAAATGAAAATGTAAATATTGATATATTCCGACTAAAATTGAACAAATCTGCAATCGCACTAAGATAAAGCAAAACAAAATTTGGTTCCAGTCTCGCACAGTAAAAAATAAGTCATCTGAAAGAAATGAAAAAAAAATCTAATTGCTTTAACTGGCAAAATCTTTACAGATTTTAACCAATATCAAAACTCATGAAAGATTATATTGATATAAAACATGATACCAAATCAGGTGTCATTCATGATTTCACTGATAGAAACCAGTATACCAAATTTTGTTAGAATCTGATAGTAATCTTATACCTGATTTTATTCAGAAGTAAAAAGTAATGTTACTTTGATGGAAACAAAGACATTTTATCTCTCTACAGGGTCTTTAAGTTCTGTAACTCTAGCAAATGTTGACTGAAATTGGGTTCAAATCTGACAATAAAAAATAAAGCAATTTGACAGAAATAGAGAAATAATCTTCTCAAGGATTTTAAAGGGCCTCAACTCTGACAAACCAATAACAAACTTTTCCAAGATATTATTGATATAAAGAAATATATCAAATTTGGTTAAAAACAGCCAGTAAAAATTCAGATAATTTGACAAAAACAAAAACCTGATTTTTTGCCCCCATGATTTTAAAGTATCATAACTTAGTCAAATGTTGGCTGATTTTTACCAAAACAGAATTACTACGAGATCTCATTTGCAGAAAACAATATACAATATTGGGTTCAAATCTGATGAAAAAACTCAAGTTATTCGGTGGAAACCCTTAAATAGACAAACAAATGGACAGATAAACAAAAGGCAACATTTTGTATCCTGACAATCCAAGATATCTTTCAATATGAAAAATGTTCACCTTATAGCACATATGATTCTGTCTTTACAAGAACCTACACAAATTAGTTGATAATCCTGCAACAAGATCCAGCCATATTTCATCTTCCCCCTTTTTTTTAATGAATTTTAGCTGAAGGGTATGAGTTAAAAAAAAAAATCACTGATGTAGGTCTAGCTGTTTAATCCAGTATACACGATGTGTATGTCTTCATTTACACAAGTGTTGAAGGTGATGGTCTTGCATGATCAAGAAAAGAATCAGAATCCCTTATCAAGTTGCACAGCAGCCTATAGCAAGGCATGAAATGAAATCAGTAATCAACTGTAAGTAGAGCCTTGAACATGCCATTACCTAAACACATTTTACAGGGATATCATCTGGATCTATGGCTATTCTACTACTGATAGATATCAAATAAGAAACTACACTGCATAACAAATCAGATGCTATCCTTTTGAATATCGGTCAGACTTGCATAAATAGTTACACACAAAGTTAGAGGAGGGAAATAGGAGAGACAAATCAAAAGGCCTGGGATAGCTACAGCCCATCGTGGGTGGACCTTTATTCTACATTTTCAAATGACCCAAACGTTATGTTGGCAGGCTCCGATAGCAGAATTCCCTCCCTGTGTATATATCTGATCAAGTCAGATATAAGCTTGAATCAAACAGACAGCAGGTGTGTTGCATTACAAGCTGATGGAAAACCCAGATCTAAACAGAGACCTGTGATTAATATATCAGATACAAGGAAATTAAAATTTGTTTTGTAAGTAAAACCTAAGATTTTGATTGTCTGTAAAGCTTTGAAGGTGTTTTTAAACATATCTATCTGAGGTTGGATCACACAATACTCCTGAGGGCTGACTAATCATGGTCTATATTTCCTTTTATGAGAAAAGTTTGTCTGATTAAAACATCTTTTTGTCTTACAGGTCAATGTTGATCATGAGTCAACTTGTGTTCAATTAGTCAGGAACTCATTTAAGTCTTACCCAAACATGGTCTACATTTTGAAAGTAAATATATATTTCTTAAATGAAAGTATCTTCTGAGAAATGGTTACCAAATAGCATTAGAGGATTAAAGTCTAAGTAAATTTGGCTACCTTTACAATAAATATCTTTCAATTTACTCAGATGCTAACAACATATAAAATGATCAGCAAACTGTTAAATCAACTAGTACTATATCTGGTCAAAGATATGGCAGGGTCTATGGGCCCCCTCATCTTGATTCAGAGCATGTACAGTCCTAATACAATATACCTTTCACAACTTACCCTATATTTATCTAACACTTAAGCAAGTTGCTCTTTCTTTCTACAACTCTAGGGATATCTCAGTTGTTACTATAGTAAACAAATTACCTATAAGCTTCCAATTTTCCATGTCTTTCACATTTATTTTTTTATAAAATACCAGAACAGCAGTGAAAAAACTTCATGTCAAAACAGAATCTCAATTCAAACTCAATTTTGATGAAGCTGGGCGAAATATGTAAATCTTGGTGAATCCAAGAAAGTATGTTACAAGGATACGTAGAGTATCTTGCCAAATTTCACAGGATTAGATACATTCTTAGAATTGTTCTGGATTATCCTTTACCAATCATTTGACTTTTCCTTTTTTTTGAAGTATAACAGATTTTATACCTAGACTATAAATTGTCTATTGAAGAAAACATAAAAGAAAATACCTTTGTTTGTAAAGGTAAAGAAATGTTTGTTACTGTACTTGTCACTAAAATATCAAATATGAACTTATATACTTGCATGACATACACACATACCACCATTGAAAAATGCCTTGCAATAACAATCATAGTTATATACATGTATATTGTGTTTCAAACATATTTTAGATGTCATAATTAAGAGAGAAATGAGATCACAATGGCATCCTGATATCTCATCAGTGATATATTTTCTATGTGGAATATTTGAGATTCTGAAAATAGCAGCCTCAGCAGGAACATTAAGAGATTATATTGGTAGGTTTACAGGGCATACACATGGCTGGCAGTGTCAAGGATCTCAACCAACAGTAGTGTGGTGGGGGAGGCAAATCATTTACATTTTTGAAACTATTTATAAACTCTTCCTTTGAGTATTTTAAACCTTTTCACATAACTTCTTTCCTGAATAAACAATATCCAGTATTGAGTACTTTTATCTGTTTTTAACTCATCTATCAATTTCACATGTATTTCTCGTTTTCATTTGCCTTTTTTGAGAAACAATATTTTATGATGCGAACTTTTTTTTGTTTTTTTTTTTTTTTTGTATTTTTGAACTTTATCTTAAATTATTGCTTGAATCTATTTTAAGGAACTCCTTTGGCAATTTGTTGGATTTTATCTTTGGAATAGACATTTTGCTGGTTATTTTGACCAGAATAAACACTCTGTGTGGCAGTAAAAACCTTCAAACATCAGGCAGTACTAAAACTCAGAATATTTAGTACTCTATGCTGATAATATAAATTTTATACTGCAGACAAATCCTACACTCAGCCAATATTACTAGTACTGAACTGCACTAGAGCTATTCTGTTTGGATACCTCATAACAGAAATCAGCATTACAGTGTTTATACTTGTTATTGAAGCAAAGTTAAGCAGTCATTTAACAGTGAATGTTTTGTTAAAGAATTTTTTACATTTTGACCACGTGACAATTCCTCTATTCCTACCTCCAAAATTGACAACACAGCAATCATAAAACACGAGGAAGTAGAGAGTAAAGAATAAACTTAATTATAGCTGTATAAAAAAAAGTAAGGTCTAGCATCTACAAGCATTGAACAGCACACTTCTGCAGCATTGTGTACATACATATTCCAGTGTCAGTTACATAAACAAGAGGCAAAATGAACCTGCATTGATCACTTCAGCTATAGTTAATGAAGAAAAGACTTTGATTGAAGTGTGCATGCAAAACATTTTACCACATGTACTTAAATATCATATGAAGCTAAGTGATTAATCATAGTTTTTAAAAGAGTGCAACACATTTGACCCCTGCAACTGGAGATAAGGTCAAGGTTATTTACGTAACTAACTTCAACCCAGCATGCAACTGGTGACATGAGCCATAAACTAAGGCTTGACGGTTATTCAGAAGAAGCTGTCTAAAAATAAAAGTTGACAGGTGATCGCATGAATACATTGGGAGACAGATGCCACACCATGGCGTAAGTTTACTTGCCAATTTGAAAGGATGTGAGCAAAAAACTTAAGAAATTAATCTGTACAAACCTTCGTTTGATAAGTGAAAACATAGTTCATCTCCAACATCTGGACTTCTGCACACATCTTTATTTACAACCCAATATTCCGGTCTGTCCAGTAACAAATCTGAATCATCAGGTAGGTCATCAAGTTGGACTCTGGAGGGATTGCAAGCCGTCAAACCTACACCGAGTCCGCCAACATAGGATCGATCCACACCTAGAATCTGTATCACTACTTTCTCACCACATTTTAATGGTCGTGACGAGAACACATAACCATTGCAGTATTCGTCCTGAGAGCGTGTGGCTACTATTCGATCAGCTGTTAATTGGACATTTTTACCAGTGAGCATGTGCCATTTTAGTGGCGTGAAAGTCAAATTTGCATAGTAACGTACTGCTGGAAAGCCACCGAGTGTCTCTGTAGTAGGAGCACTATTTATTGATAATGATGACAATGACGAGGCAAGGTCTCGATTTGCACTGACAGAAGAACTTGATGAACTTGTTGGTGACATCACCATGTTGTTCAGACGTACTGGCTCTACAATATAAATAATAAGAACATGTTATAATATTATTTATTACCAATTTTCTAAAAGTCTATGAATGAAACAATCAGGAATTTTCACTACAAAGTGAGATAGTTAATCAACTATCTAGACTTATAATATAAAACCTCAAACATTTTCTGTGTGGAGATCAGTGTGATTAGCCTATATATCTGGGAACTGAAATTATGATGTAGGATCAGACTGTGTGGCCATCAGTAGGACTCATGTCTGTTGATGACCAAGGCTCGTAAAGTCTTACCTCTAATTCTAAGAGGTTGTATATGCTGACTTTGTTTTGTGATAAGATTTGTAACCATGAAGACAGTATTAATGTAGTAATCTATAAATTTTACCTTAACTAAGATGAAGGATTAAAGATTATGTTGCTTACCTATAATACTGATTTGTAAAATCTATTTAATGTGTTACACAATCACAGTAGAAAAAATCTATCAGAGGACGAATCTTTATTCTTATAAGTTGACAAGGATAAGCAAACTTTGAATAAACAAAATCATCTACATGAAGCTAACAGAGCTACATGTAGTGTACTACAGATATCTGTTTTTGATCACCAGTTGTTTGTGATGAAGAATTACAGTATAATGGTTGCCAACTCAATGAGTTGTACTTCTATACTATCTCCATTTCATTTTCTGACAGCATCACATGTCAGAACCTGGATCCCTTAAGACCCATGGCAGAAACTGCCAGAGACATGGCCTACGTGTCCAAACTTTCTATTGTTTTGTCTCAAAATAAACTTCTGTACAACTTTTCCACTGCAAATGGCTAGAAGCCAAACCCCTATCAAGATCACAGTCAAATGAGAATAACATATACAACATACAATAACCTAATTGTTCTTCCTGTCCAAATCCACAAGGAATTCCTAGAATTCTGCAAAAACAGCAAAATAACATAGTTTTTGGTTGATTTTTCTGGAACATTTACAACAAGGAAAATTAGGTCAAAAGAGCCATTGTTCTGGCTCACCTAATGTTTCCAATAGCCGGTGTGTTCTGATGGGGCAGTACCTACAGCTGTATCCAATATTCCTTCACAGGTAAAGTAAACAGAGATCGCTAGAGTACCAGGGCTTGTCTTGTATACAAGTCTACTTTAATCTCTACAACAGTGTTAGGAAACCAAAAACAAAATCCTCTTGAGATAATTCAAAGCTCTAAATGTTTTAATGATGATGGTTTTCATATGATAATACATTACAGTATGTGATATCTCCAACAGTCCCTTTCAACATTAATTTGAAGTAATTCATGCCCCTACCATGTGACAAGAGCCATTAACACTTCAAACATGAGGGTTAAAAGGGTTGGTTTAGAATGAATAAAGCTACTCCAAGTAACATTCAAGGCAATTACTCACATAAATGTAGTATTTGAAACATACTTTCAAACATATTTATTTAAATATCACTGTATCTGCATTTTTCACATGTAAACATATTTGTGTTTTTTCTTTTTCAAATGAATATCTTTCTGGAACAAACTTGTGATTGAATGAGACCATGAAGTATCACTTTGTGTCTTTTCAGTATTTCCAAAGTTAATCTGGAAATCTTCATGTTGACTATATAGTATTATTTTTATTTTAACCAACACAGTGTGACAACATTGGATGTTCTTTATTTCCTGGATCTAGACTCCTTTATCAAGTGTCTAACTAAGGATGTGAATTAAGAACAATAGTGAATATACACCTTCTCTCCAGAGGCCCGTGTTGATGAGGGATGGGGCAAAGCAATTGGCTCTATTATATATCATCCGAGCAAAATTACATTCATCTCTTCATTGCCAGCAAGCACTGCGGTGATACTTAGTGTATTTTTAACTGCTTCCATGATAAACAGACCCTGTATCAAGCAGTATTTTGTATACTGTATGAAAGAAATCTTCACCACAATATTATGTATTTACGTTCTTCTTTCATTACCAGTCATGAAACATATAGCTTATTGATGAAGAATTAAACAATATGCATTTTAAATCCAAAGGAAAAGACAGAGTACCAATAAATCCTGCTAGGAATGGGTGTAGATGTATTTTCTCTCAGTTTTAAGACAAAATCCAAATGAGACTCTACAAACATGAATGTCTTAAACAAGGATAGTTAAATTGGTTTGTGTGTTGGTCAACAAAACTTCAACTGAAGATCTAAGGTGTGTAGTTTGACTTTCCCTACCCCTTGTGGTTTGTGCTTCTCAGGAAGCTGAGAAAATCACAGTCTGTGTTGATGTTTCTTTGGGCAAGGTACTATTCCCGAATTACTCTGAATAACATGCAAACAGGCCTCTAGTATGTTGTTCTGTGAGGTAGCCACCAGTTACTCCAATGACAATCCATCTTATTGATCATGGCTGTTTATGTGGCAATAAACCCAACAAACAAATGAAAAAGAGAAAAAGACGGTGCCGGTGTATCAAAGTGGAGCTCTTACAGAAAAGTTATTTAATCCTACAGGCTGATAAAACATATTCCTGAAGTTTAAAATAACAAGACTGGCCTAACCATGTACAAATATGCCAACAAATTGAAATATGTTTGGAACAGGGAAAGTGAAAGTATCTAGATATTGCATGTTTGTTATAGAAACAATATTGAATATGAAATACAGAAAAGAGAGTGTTCAGTTTATTTGAATTTAACCTATTATAATTATACTACAATAAGTTCAGGCAACAAAACACATTATCTTTGACTTCAAGGTAGATGTTGGGCTTATGAAACAACAATGTCCTGGCATTTGTCAGCAATTCTACAGACCATCAATAGACAAGAGGGCTTGATACAAGACATGAGTTGTCGCTGGATATGTATGGTAATCATTTTAGGCACTGCTATTACTTTTTGTATTACCTGGATTGGCAAATTCCACTGCCAGAGTATTGCCATATATATCAAACAGTGCCCATAGAGGGAGCTGTGTGTTGACTCCTGTGAAGAACAATCCCACATCTTCTCCATTCACTCCATAAAACACATCACCATTACGAGTCACATAGAAATGTAAAGTATTATTCGGTGTAGCATATCGTTCCGCCAACGCCTTTGCCCAGTTTCCCTGCTTGTTGGTCATGTCTGGACATGCATATCTAGGAAGGTCAGATCCCCGCAAACTTCCGGGGTCAATGTTTGTAAATCCAAACCGGAGCACCCCACTCCAACTGCTGGATGTCTCTGCAAATTTGATGTACACTTTTTCGTTGATAGCGATTGGTCGATTACTGAAGCATATAGCTTTACAGAAACTGTCGCCTCGCTTAGCAATGCTGGCATCAGAATTGAGTTCCACATTGTCCCCACAAATTTGATGGAACTTGAGGGGCGAAGCTGGTTGGTACAGGCCTGCTAACTCTCCTATCAGCCCTGAAAACACATAACAAATTCAGATATTTAACATTCACATTACATATATACATACCGGTAACACCAACACTGACATAAGTCATAGCAGGTTATTTCGATCTGGCATCAATATTATTCTTTTATTTCTATTATACAAGTGCATAATTAAACAAGAGGCCCATGGGCCTTAACGGTCATCTGACAAAAAGCAAGCCAAACCTATTTTAACATATTTGACCCCTGTGACCTTTAAAGTGGGTCAAGGTCATTCATTTGAACAAACTTGGTAGAGCTCCATGCCAGTATCCTCTGTGCCAAGTATTAGCCCCCTAGACCTTCTAGTATTTGAGAAGAAGTTGTTTGAATGAAAAGTTTACGCACGGCACACGCCGGACGACGACGGACGAAGCACGATGGCTATAGGTCATCTTGACCCTTTGGGTCAGATGATCTAAAAAAACCTGTAAAACCTTGATTAAAGTTGAATATGTAGTTGAAAGCAGATGATGAAGTCAATTTATTATGATACAATATACATGTACACAGTATGGTAACTATTTACAACAACTGCACTTTTATGAAATTAAAGTTCTGATACAGAACTTGTTGCTCAGGCAAAAGTCCCAGCTAGCCTCTCTGCTGATCTCTAATTCTCCTCTCTCTTGCTGTCTCTCCTAGTGGACAAAGTGAAGTCTATTTATATTAAAAGATATATATATGCATAATTATAGTTCAGTAAACATTCAAACAGTAGGTATATATAATTAACAATGTCAAGGTCACTGTCATGGATCTAATTTCCTTGCTTTTACTTCAGTAAATTTTAAACTTCAATTTCCACTACAAACCTGCTGTAACATTTAATTGTCAGTAGGAGTTTATCCTACCATGTACTTTATACAAATTCTGTATTGGTTGTTATTTTACAAGGATTTTTTTTGTCATTTTTATTTGGTTGGAAGAAAATTAATGAAGAACCCAAAGCCTGTTACAGGACTTCAATTAGAAAAACTTCCTTTTTATATGAAACTATTGGTAAACAATCATAATATGCACATAGAGTATCGTTTAGGTAAAGTATACACATGTTGCAATAGGATTAAGAAAGGTGAAGGTCATTCAAAATTTAAGTTCCCCTAACCACACCTGACCACGTTTCCAAGGCCAATGTAACAATATCATTATAAATGTACACATTAAAATTATGAGTATTTTGTTGGAGATGTATGTGTGCTGTGTAGGAAGACTGTTATCTCTGTAGACTTGGGGCTTCCATGCTCCACAGCCACCACTATCTATGTAGGAGATAAAGCTGTTGATAGGATGCTTTAGTGTGGGAACAGCTCCTTTCCAACACCTGGCCTCTTCTCTAGACTGCCTTGTTCAGAAAGCTGGGTTAGAAGTCTGCAACTTCTCCACAAAACCTTTGTTTATAAGGCAAAATGAACTTACTTGTTCACTATATTTATCAAATTGTCTATACGATGTGTTCTTATGTTCAGAAGGCATAACATCTTGAACATCCTCAATAAATACAGCCACACAGCCATTTTCATACATATCTCCATTTACCAAAACCTCAACTACAACCATTCACATGTAAATACATCTGTTCTCTCCCATCCAATAAAATGTCCTTCCCCAGGACAGCCACGCCCTCGAATACCTAAACACACCATACATGGAACTACAAGCATGACCCACAGTGTACACCTGTCTCCTGTCCCATTCTCTAAAACCCATTCATATATATCTGTCCCCAAGCTGCCCTCACAAATTGAGACAAACCACATGACTCATCCTCAGCTTTCCCCTGACCTCATTCTCACCCCTCAAGTAAGCACATCTTCCATCCACACCTCAAATAAGAACCACATTAACGAATACAATGCATCTCACTCGTACCCCCTGCAATCACCTCTCAATCCAATCTTTCCCCTTGCCTTCTCCCATCTCCAACACCCACAACTTACAATCCTACCTCTCAGCTCAATCTTATCCATCACCTCAATACACCTCTCCCTTACCTACACTCCTCAAATCAACTAACCTACTTCTCAACCCCTCCCCTTAATCCCCCAACCACAATCGGTCGCCCAAAGAAATACTGCACCCTACCATCCCCTTCCCTGTAACCAGTACAAATGAGACAGATTAGAGCTGACAGGAAATGAAGATTGTTGACACTCTGACACATATCTCCCCACTAATTCTGACTTGAACACAAAGACACCAATGGTCCTGGTCTGGACCTAACCTGTGGTACTATTGTGTTTCATGTGTATTCATAATGACTTACTACAACCTACTCACACCTACTGACAAGATGTGTGCGTGTGTCTGTATCAATGAAATATGACAACCAGATTTATGATGTTGGCATATGATCAAATCCACAAAAGTTTAACAACACTAGAATGGTTTTAACTTTCTAGATTAGACTGATTCACAATATTTAGACATAAATGACGTGGTTGTGGCCCCTTTCTACTAAGTCACCCTTCTATCAGAACTGCCTTTCATGAGGATGAATTTTCATTGTCAGTGCTGGAAACATCCTAAATACAATCTCTATGTGGATTTAAGCTAGAAAACAAAACTGTCAAACCGACTTTATTACTGATAGAAAATAAAAATGTTCCACGCTCAAAAGACAATTTTTGACAATAAAAAAGAAATAGAAGACCTCTAATCAGACAAGTTGGTAACTATTGAGTGCAATAACCTTTACAACATTCACATATCATTTGTTTATCAACTGTTGACAGAGTGATAACCATGTGTACATCTAAAACATATACCTATGTAATGGGTACAACACTCCAGAATAGAGGCTGGGTTTTCTCTACGGGAGCCATTTGGAAATTGTTAGGTAAAGATAGGGGAGAACAACAACCCCTGGCTATCAGCAGGTTCAGTTTGTTATTAGCTATCATATTATAATCACAATGTACCTCTGTAAGTACTTGAGTGTTCTAGATGTAGCATATCAGTAGACCTACACAAAGACATTTCAATGCTAACCTTCTGTACAAATATTAGCTGCTAACCACATACAGTCAAACCTCGTTATCTCAAACTCTTATAACTCCAAGATCCTGTATGTATAGTTTGAAGCATTTTGTCGGTCATGGCCAAAATTTGCACTAAAAATATGATCTCACTTAAAGTGAATAACAGGATAACAACAAGTTTTCCCACGGTCCTGCACACTTTGAGATAATGAAGCTGTTGAATTGTGTATTTAATATATGGTCAAACTTATAAAATAAACAATAGTTTAAAACGAAATATGTTAATGTATTCCATTACTGTCCGAAATCTGCTATTGAGGTTCGACTGTATACAGACATATAAGCCACTAACCTGAGAAAACTCCAATGATTCCATTGTTATCAGGGAAGATTAATTACACAGACACTATTTATCACAGACAACACACCCAGAAAATGTATCAGGGTCAATAGAGAGATAAAATCAAACCACAATAGGAATCAATTATTGAGTGACCTGTTAACACTCACAAAAACATTTATACAAATTTTTTTTTTTTAAATCAAATTTTTAAAGAGTCAATTAACATAAAAGTGCCTCTTTTCTTTAGCAATTCCAAAAATGTTTAAACAAAGAAAACTGAAATGTATAAACAGTATCCAAGCATCTTTGCAAATTATGAAATGTTCTTACTGCCAAAGACTTGGCTTGGTACCAACACAACAGAAGAAGATTAAAAAGCATCGCAGACCGTGCCAGTAACAACATAGACAAACGGTGTACATGTAAAAACATTTGGAGCAATAATTTTGGAAACAGATTTTCTCCTCATAAACTTCACCAGTGTTCAACACTAGGAGCACTTCTGTTTATGACAGTAGATCACCATCCAATCTTCTCACATATTTCACATACTGTTAGTGAACATCTGTATTGGATATGGTAAGTATATATCTGCAGTGACCTTGGAATTTAATTAGGTCTCTAAAACCAATATGTTTTTGCTGAAATATAATTAACTTTCTAAATGCAGGGCTGATATAATACAGTGTGACCCCATTTTTATAGATATGACAGGTCTAAGGGAAGCTACTGTTTCATTTTCTGCATGTTTAAATAAATCCATTAATGTTTCAACATTGCTTCCAAACATTTTCATATTTTCCAGGTATCAGATGCTTGTGAGAAATGTAAAATTGTCAAATTATTTCATAACACAGTAGATTTACCAAAAAATTCTTTAAAACATAGATTGATACATTTCAGATAAAATACACTAATATTTAGGTGGCAAATTCAGGGGAAAAAATAAAATTAGAAACAATACATATCAATTTAGGGAAAATAAGATATAATAAATAACAGTTACTCAAGGGGTGATATCAAGATCAATTTAAGAATAATTCAAATGTTATCATTGAAATATTTAAAACAAATTAGGGACAACATATAGGTTGATTAAAGATAATTTGTACATCAATTAAGGAATATTTCAACCACATTAAAAAAAATATGTAGTTCCAATCAGACATATTAAACAGAGCTAGGCCAATAAAGGAACAATGAAATGATGATGATATACATTATTATAATCTGATATTTTACCTCTACAATGTAAGACTATATATTTAGTTAAATTAAAATTAGATCCTGAAGTCAAATAATAAAACATACAGGTAAAATATGTCTTAAATGTTAAATAAATGACTTTGACTTTTTGATGACAATATTCTATAAATGTGTCCTGAGTAATCTTACATTACATGTGTTCAGTCAATTTGTTATTACAGTTTTGGTAACACACAATACACATTGTGCATACATCATCCACACATCGTCAACACACCCTACAGTTCTAGCACACAACTGTGCAATCAATCTTTATATTGTATAGTTGCACACCTCGGTGAGTGGCTGGTGTGTTTCCTGCAACAAAATTACCTGTATACCGGTATAATGTGACACATCCACAACTTTACCAGCTAGGTCCCCAATGTAACAAACACAATAAAGATTTACCCAAGTAC